GTCTCTTTCATTGACGCTCTTCTTCTTTCTCCTCNTATCGACCATCTCCATGTCCTCATCAACACTTAGAAACATTTCCCCAATGGCTGAAAACAATTATCATACATGGTGCGTGGCGAATAATAAAGCGANCGATGNNCANCTACAAGNGACTATAGATTGGTGTTGTAGCGACGCAGNAGGGTTCCGCAATTGCACAGCGATCCAACCTGGTGGAGAATGCTATGATCCAAACACTCTAAGAGACCATGCATCGTACGTGATGAACTCCTATTTCCATGACCTTGGTTCCACCAAGAAACAATGCGATTTCAGTGGTACTGGCTCTCTAGTTCATACGGATCCAAGCCATGGTGCATGTAAATTCGATACTTATTAACATTCTTATATCATGTTAACGTATATGTATGGGAACTTGTTTAAAATAAGTTGAAGATATTATACATGCGTAAAAATTTCTCTAATCTCATAGAATTAGAGAGTTTAAAGTAAATTAATGTAATTTCATATATATCTCGAGTTTTTTCTTGTTTTAATCAAACTCATTGGCAAAACAAGCATGGCGACTCTCAATCCAGAGACCGGAAAGCCTATTTTTTGGTTTATTCCAAATATTACTCGGCTCGTCGATTAGATTTGAGAGGGTTGAAAGTTGAATTGCATTGTCAGCTATATTAGGACCTTTTTTTGTCATGTTTCTGATTTTATCAAGATGAGATCCTACTTTATTAAATAAAAAGCCGAAATCCTTTAATGATTCATTAAACTATATTAGATTTATCAAGATAAGATCCTACTTTATTTAACAAAAAGTTATTTTACAAACAAGTGACAAGTATAAAGGATGAAAACAGACTTTGTTCGGATTTTTTTTCTTTACGCATATATAAATTGTATGTACACAAGAAAACACACGCAAAGTTATTGATACCGAAAGTTTGAATGGCTGTAAAATTATTATCTCCAAATATCTTCTTTGATCGTTCTAAATGGTCTACAAATCACATTTAATGTAGATTTTCTATATTTCAATGGTTTTGTGTTACTACCTTATTTGGTTATCTATCTGCTTAAAAATTGGTTGTATAAATTGTCATTGCTAACTTTTTTTTACTTTGTTTTTGCTAACTTTTTTTTACTTTGTTTTTGCTAACTTTTTGCTAAATTGTAAAATATCATTAGTGAAACAAGATAATGATTAGAAAAACACATAAGCTACTTTCCTATGAAGTGAACAATATATACAACTCATAGTCAAATTGATCATTCCATACACTATCTGCCCGAAATTGAATATAGATATCATATAGTCAATATGATATATTCCAAAGTA